GATTCAAAGGCGGTTAGGGGGCTCTCGTGGCCTAGAGGTTAAGGTGTTGGCCTCTCATTCAAAAGTCCCGGGTTCGATTCCGGGTAGCGACCAAAAAATTTTCTTCTCTAAAAATTGTCTCCTTTCACATCCTTTCCTGATCTCTAACAATGTTCTGTTGTCTGTTTTCATTTCCACTTTCTGCCCCCACCCCCTCACATGTATCCCTCTCGACCCTATTGAATGAGAGGCGAACACCTTAACTTCTAGACCAGGAGAACCCCCTAATAAGCTGTGGCAACCAGCGCGGCAAATATCATTTGATACTTGTAAATATTTTAAAGAAAAAGCATAATATTATTAATATTCAGTATTCCCTGACAGCTGAGAAAGGTGGGTCATAACCATCTTGCCCTTAAACATGTACTTATAATTATCGTTTTTCGTATTGTTGTTTAAGTGAAACTGTTTTTAGCATTGTACTTTCTTGACAGTATGCATTTCTATCTGCCCCGTTGTTTTTCCCCTTTAAAGAAGTAACATTCTTTTACGATAACCTGACTGGCCTAATTGAAACTAGAAACGAACTTAACCTGTCATTTTCTGCTTAAATGGATTTGTTTTATGTATTAATTACCACATGTGCTTCATTGGCCCAAGTTATTTTTTGTATTGCCTTAAAGCCTAGCATTTCAGTGCTCACGTGACATTGCGCCCCCCCCCCCCCCCCCAACCACACACACACTTTTATAACGACAGAAAAACAAAACTTCTCTCCTCATGTGACTCGATTAAAATCATCTGACGCTTTTTCGAGTGGCTCTTGTCTATCCAAGCTTTTGTTAGCATTATTCTATTTTTGTACTTTAAAGCACTTTATTTTGTCTCACACTACGTACAAATGAGCAGTGTCAGTGAAGATCCAAAATACTACTATCCAGCCGAACAAAACAAAACTTTCATTAAGAAAAACGTTTGTATTTTGCAATAACAGGTTATGGATGGTTCTTATTGAAACGCGGAAAAGTTTTAGGTGCTGGAACTCAAGACATTTACAAACCGAGACAATGGTATGGCGAAGAGATTTACAAACCGAGACAATGGTATGACGAAGAGATTTTATTCCTCAAACTCAAAGACGGGGGCTCTCGTGGCCTAGAGGTTAAGGTGTTGGCCTCTCATTCAAAAGGTCCCGGGTTGGAATCCGGGTAGCGACCGAAACATTTTCTTTCTAAAATTGTCTCCTTTCACCTCCTTTCCTGCTCTCTAGCAATGTTCTGTTGTCTGCTTTCAATTCCACTTTCTGCCCCCATCCCCTCACCTCCTTTGCCCCTCCTTTGGGCTCCTGACTCCGTCTGCAGCCTTTCTACTGCTACTCCTTGGCTCCTCCTAACTGCTGTCTTTCTGCCACACCCCTGATCTTCTGGTAAGAAAGATCTACACCTAGCCTTCTCGGACAAGGGCGAAAAATCTCGGAGGGCCCGTGTGCAAGTTGCGCACGTTAAAGATCTCTTGGTGGTATAAAATCGATAAGAGTAGGCTTCGGCCGCCACCCGGGCAAAATTCAAAATTTCCTACCAACTGAAAATATTAGGTGTGTCCCGCGCGCTCATATGACCTATGCAGTTGCGAGCGCCGTAAAACACTTTACAAAAAACAACAACAAAAAAAGAAAACTCAAAGACCAGGATATGAGTCCTCGTTCACACGTAAATAATTGTTTTCATTCGCGGAATACAATGTCAGTTCCGTTAAAGGGTGTGTGTGAGTGAATTCCTCTCACCGAAGAAGTCATTGTTTGTACCATAAAGATTTTTTTCGGCTTTTTGTCTTTAGAGAGATACTAAAAAGTATACATGGTACAGCAACTTCACTTTGGTTGTGAGCCATTTTGATAATGTGCTGGTCTGTGTAGTGTATGAGATCACTCACTGATCCGCATCTTGAGTACGTCTTGAGATTGTCTCGAGACCAGCTTGAGACCATCTTGAGACTGTCTTGAGATCGGGAACTGAATAGTGATTGGGGGTCTTAAGATGCTCTCTGTCTGCTCAGCATTCAAAGTGCAGGGGGTAGCTTACCGGGGTCTCTACTGTACATTTTGTAATTCTTTAGCTATTTGTCTCTTACACGAATTACAGAGAATTCCAAACCATTTTGTTTTGTTTTTGTTTGTTTGTTGCTGTTGTTGTTTTTTTGTTGTTGTTTTTACTCGTATCTTCGCGCTTCTGTTGGCATATACGTCGTTGTGCCCATAGTATAATATTATAATTTCCGCCCGCGGGCGCTCCGTTAGCTAAGTCGGTATCAGTATCATGCCATGCTGGGCTATTGAACGAATTGCCCTGGTTCGAATACAGACTGTTCTTGAACTAGGTTCGAGTTTTATTTTTATTTATTTTTTTAAAAAATTGGGTTTTTTTTGTTTTTTGTTTTTTTAAAGGGCCCATTGAACTTGGTGCTATCTGAGACGGACGTTTAATTCGGAAGTCCCGCCTATTAAATGATCTAATAGTGTTGACAGGGACGTTATTGTTCCCACCTTGTCCTTTATTTGGTTCCATAATTTAGTCAAATAATGCGCTTCATCATGGTGAAACGGAAGTACATCAGAGTGCATGATCTAGGATATTATAACCACGTATATGGCGACGACACGGACAAGGGTTCTTGTCTCCTCAGCTAATAAAAAAACAAAACTGTTATGTCATGGTGAGATGGCGCAGTATTGTATCAGTCAGATCACCTATACATTGTCGAACTGTTTCTTATCGCTTCGGCACTAATGGGAAGCTTTCAGTAATCAAATGTTATCTCTCGTAAGTATCACTTCTGTCTGTCATAATGGTGTGGATTGCGACACCGCGACCTTTCATATCTTAGATGTCATGCAGCACTGATTCAGAATTGGCCAACTTTGGAAATCTCTCTCTCAGCAGCTAGGGGTGTGTGGTTGGCGAGTGTCTTGGTGTGATTTGCTCCTTCTTTCCTGTAAAATATATATCGTCCCTGTCTCTCCTCATTCTTTCCTTTGTGTGTTACTCTCAAGTAACTCATTTGATCTTCTACTTATAATACTTGTATTTGTGTTGCAAGTAACACTTTTACTTAAAAAAAATTAAGCTAAGAACTGGCTAGGTTTGCACCCATTTAAGTGTCTGTAATGGTTATTTTGGGCTACTAGTTTTGGCCGTAAAGGAGAGGGGGATCAAGATTAAAAACTTGTTTTCGATTCCTACTTCCTAGGGGAAAGATGTTTTTATTCCCGTTTTCCACTCGGGTGAGGTATTCCACCCAGTTCAAGTTGACCCGCGTCTTTAAGATCCGATGGGACTGTCTAAGTAGACCTTTCGAGTATCTCCGTCTGTTTGTTGGGGTGCAACAACAAAAAAATTGATATACTATTATTTTTTTAATAATATATTTATCAACCCGGGTTGGCCCAGTGCACATCTCATGAACTATCTAAGATGTGTTGATGTGGGTGTAAAACAGTGACACCCAATCAGTCTAGGTTGGCCCAGACGTGCAGGTTCGATGCTGTCCGCCTTCTGAATAATGGTATTTATGTCGATGGGGATGCAAAACGTTTGCAATTATCGGCGTCTGTGGTGAGTGGTGTAGCAGCGGTCAGGCGCTTCGCTGTCGAATCCAGGATACCCGAGTTCGATTTCCGAGGGGGGGGGTAATTTTATCGAGTACCTCGGTCTTTTTGCTGGGATGTTGTATTTCTCACGGTCTGGGTTGGCCCTTACAGGCAGGGTCGGAAGCCAGCCTCCTAAAATATCTAAATTTTGTTATTCGGGCACGTGTATTAAAACTAACAAAAACCGTTTACAATCATTCTCTTTAACAATTCAGTGGTTGAGTTATTACCTTGACCATCGATCGATTAATCAATGTAGATTGAGAAGCAACAACTGCTCGGAATGAACTTGAAGTCGCTTAGAGTATGTGTATAGCTGTAAGACCACCGTGCTATCCCCAGAGATTGTGTATATTACATAACATGTACATAAGGCAGGGTGGCCAATGCTACACAAAGTTTAACCAAGGTATTCCTATCAGTATTATTATAGACGAGGCCGGTGAAAATTCATGCTTATTTATAATTACTTCTTCGTATACTGTCCTGATATTTGGTCTAAAGGAAGGTGATCTGCGCGGAACATAGGCCTAATCAGTGGAATTAAATTGATCAGAAAAATAATCTTTTCCCATGATGAAGCATTTTTTTTATCTAAGGATCATCGGGGTTTTTTATGGCATGAAAATATGCATGCAGAGAGGTGGATGTGCATGTCTTGACTGTGTGTGTGTGTGTGTGTGTGAGAGAGAGAGAGAGAGAGAGAGAGAGAGAGAGAGAGAGAGAGAGAGAGTTGGAGAGAGACAGACAGACAGAAAGTTACAAAGAGAATATGTGTGATAATTATCGGGGGGGGGACAAAAATACAGTAAAAGGGCTACGATTACGCTGTTTGTTCGGCCCACTGATCTTCAAGGTCCAGAACGTGCGCATGTCCGACGATAGTTAAAGCATAGGATAGAACAAAATAGAAAAGTTGAGGAGAGGAAGGGGGAAAGACATGGCGTGCGGGAGCAGTTAGGACGAGGAGGTGGGGTGGGGTGGGGTTGAGGGGGGGGTATAGAGGGCAGGTTTTAATAAAGGAGAAGGGATACCCACATTTGTTCTGACACCTATGCCTGGCCTCTTTTACTTGTGTGTGTTAGGAGGGCGCAACTGGTCGGCCATACTCCTGTTTCTTTTCCTTCCTTCTGTTTCTGTGTCTGTCGATTTTGTTTGTTTTCTTGCATGAAATTGCCGACGTGGTGTCATTGTGTTTTTATGTGCTCAGATAAACTAAGGTGTTGTTGTTTTACTTTTGTGCAATATTTATAAATGGACAGACAGACAGACAGACAAACAAACAGAGACAGTCAGACAGACGGACAGAAACACAAACAAACCGACATACATACAGACAGACATATTATAACTGAGGCTGTTTGTTTGTGTGCAGTTGGCAATGAGTACGACCCAGCCACGTCCCTGCTGGAGTTCATGCGTCGCACCGGCGTCTCCACCGGTACCAAACAGTGCTGCAAAGAGGGCGGCTGTGGGGTGTGCCTGGTCACTGTCACCCTGCTGGAACCCATCTCTGGGGTCAAAACTCCGTACACAGTCAACTCGGTACGGTATTGTTGTTTGGGTTGGGTTAATGTTGCCTGTTTTTTTTTTCTTTGCTTGTTTGTTTTGTTGTTGTTGTTTGTTTTTGTTTATTTTCTGCGGATGTATGTGTGCCACTTGATGTAGTGTTGTTCATTATCATGTGATCTGATGTTATATTGTTGGGTGTCCTTGGCTGAGTTTTGAAAAAGTTGTGTGTGTGTGTTTGAGAGAGAGAGAGAGAGAGAGAGAGAGAGA